GAAATTGTAGCATTTCAAATATATGTCAATATATTTGTGAAGAATATTTTTAAAATATATTTCAAATATATTTTTCTTCCATGTGGGAAATTAAGTTACAATTTTATCTTTAATGTGTTTTTGTATCAATACTTGTATAAAATGTATTTTACTAGTAAACATTTATTACAAGCTGCTTCTATAATATGGTGATTGTAGAGCTGAGCTCTAAACTGGGTTTTCTAGTATGAAAGGCCAGCAGTTGCTTTCTTTCAGACTCTCTCTCTAACTGAAACTCCCTACAGACATATGAACTGGCAAGGAAGGGAATATTTCTCTCTTCTCAGCTGTGTATATTCTAAATAGCAGATTAAATGACGGATTATTCACAGCAAAGTAGAGGATTGATTTGGCAAACATGATAAGAGAACTGAATTAATTTTAGCACCTGCTGACTGCAGGTGGTAAATGTGAAATATTCAAATACAGTACTAAATATTTACCTGACTAAAATTAAACCTTAATTAACCTAGTATAAACTAGTTATTTTTATTCCTAAAACATAAAGAAAAAAAAAATCTATACAAACAATGCTAAATGATAATTAAACTACATTAAAATAAACATACAAGATAAATAAATTACATAGAAATAAACCTAAGCAATACATAAAATATTTAAAAAAATAAACCTAAAATATACATACAGACAAATAAAAATATATCAATATAAGAAAACATCATCTTTAAAATTCTAGTATTACAACCATATATTGTTAGTGATGCTTCTTTATACCAATCAGACAGATAATCCTCCTAATTCATCCTTTTTTACAATTGGTATAAATATAAAAAAAAAAACCTAAAAAACAAAAAAAAAACCCCACTAGAAACACATTAATCAAAGTGAACAGATCTGCACAGCGTTGCATTGGGGAAGGGGTGGTGGTGGTGGTGGTGGTGGTGGTGGTGGGGGGTGGGGGGGGGTCAACAAGAAGCCTGACCTCATTATCTGTAATGTTTCAGTTAGTGTCTTTAGTAGTTAGCCTTGTTGGTAACCTTGTACCACTGAATATGTCTGGATGCACTATTAGCAAAGACCACAAGTGGTGCCCCCTTTCTTTATTATTCACAACCTGTTTCTGGTTTATAGAAGGCTATTTATCAACCCTTCCCAACCATTTTAGAATTCTATATTGAAATAAGAAATGTCTGTAGACCTTCCTGGACTCCCCAATGGTCAAGATGTCTGGAAGATAGAATCAGTTGGATGGTGGATACACAAATGCTATTGTTTTCCCTTGCAGTGCCCCATTTTCAAGGCAGAAACTTGTTTGTCTAATGTTTGTATGGTTGTTCATAATACTCATTGTTCAGTGGCCAGGTCTGGTCAATGTTTAATGTCTGTAGGCATCAACTAGGCACTTTATTATTATTATTCAACAACTTCAACAAACAACTGTCTGTGCTCTGGCTTCTTGTGGATTCTAGTATTATCTAACCCAGCCTTGATTCCAGCCTCATCTTGCCCATAGCCTTACCTTTATCCTTTAGATTTGCCTTGTATATAGTTAATTTCTAGACTGTGCTTTTAGTATGTACTGCTGGATTTTTGTCCAGCATCATTATACATTTACAAAGAGTGCATTGTAGTTTTTAAACTTTCAGCCTCTCATATGTTTCCTGTGTTATTTTCCATTTGTGTACAATACATAAAAAACAATGGATTTCATTTATTGCAATGCTTTAATGTCTTCTTTGAGTAGCCTTCACTTGATTTAATTTCCCTCAAAAGGAATTTTTTTGTGGTGCCTGCTACTGGAAAATAATGGTTATGGTAAAGACAGTGATATATTTCTTCAACATATATTCATGGCTGTGTTCATTGGCTGAATAATTTTTTTTATAATGTTCAATGTATATAATATGACTTTATCTTTAAAAAGTTTCTTAAATTAAAAGCAGGAGAAGTCAAGCGGAAAAGCTAACAGCTTGGACTTGCAGCCAGTGGAAAGTGCCATTCAAATGCTTTCACACCTAAAAGCTTTGATGCTTGATAATGCATAGCACTTGGGAACTGGCAAGGAAGCATCAACAAAAAAAATACAGAATATCATTTAATGCAAGCAAAAAGCAAATAATGAAATAAATGTAAGGCTGGTTAAAGTGGAAGATTGGTCAAAACATTATTTTGGATACAGTTATGAAAAGTTACAGCCCATATCAGATTTTTACCGGCATCTGCATCCCCCTTGGGGCATGTTTTCTTACTTGCTGTCTCAGGGACAGTGGTGACTGAGACTTGATATAAGAGAAAATATTTCCCATGAGGAAAAAATATCAATAAAAAGAAAAAAAATATTTTAGAGGCTATGTCAAATACAGTACACCAGTGGTTAAGAGTCTAAATATTTCTATGTTATCATATTGAACAAAAGAGACAAGCCAATCCTTTTTGGGAGTTTTAAGAAACCCCCTTCATCGTCATCAAAACTGGACTGGAGTGATGCCAGACTGAAAACGTTAAAGCAGTAGTAAACTATCTAGGTTTATTTTTATCTACAGGTATGTTTATAATAAATCTTACCTGTAGGTAAAATAAATCTCTTCTAAGCGTGCAGTATTTAGGAGATATTCCAGTGAGCAGCAACCGGAGACTTCACCAATGCATGTGCTCTAATGGTACGGTATACCCATAGCGTTCCTTCATAGCGCTCTGCTGTGCCCAGGGCTCCTGCATGCATGTTCGAGAGTGACATCATCGCAGCTCAGCCAATCAGATGGCTGGAGCCTGCAAAAGAAGACTTGGTGAAGATGGAAGCCCTATCAGTGGTGGCAGCGTGCTGCTGGAGGGCTTCACTTTAAGGTAAGACTTTCCTAATGTGCTAGTATGAGATGCATACTAGGACATTATGATATTACCTTGCTGGGGAATTTTTTTTTTAACCAGTTCCGTGCTGCCGTATAGCAGAAATATTGCTACATGGAGGCACGGGTGCGCAAAAATTTGCGTCCTCAGCTGTCATTCACCAGGTCCCGGCCAGTGATTACTCGCTGGCACCCAATGATCTCTAAGTATCTCCAATGGGGGAGAGGCCTGTGTGTAAACAACACAGATCTCTCCCCTGTCAGCTACTGCACACTGCTTTGTATGGCTCTGCATAGCGGACCCATACAAAGCAGTGTGCTTGCAGTGTAAAGCACACACACAGCCAGCATAGTGAAACAGCACACAGTTAACCCTTTGATCACCCCAGATGTTAACTCCTTCCTGCTCAGTGCCATTAGTACAGTGTTAGTGCTTTTTATTAGCACTGATCACTGTATTGGTGTCATTGAGGATGTCAGTGACACCAAGTCAGTTCCCCCCAGTGTCAGAATTCCTGCTGCAGTCCCGTTATAAGTCGCCACCATTACTAGTAACAAAAGAAAAGAATTCCAGTATCTATAACCCCATTTGTAAAGCTATAACTTTCACGTAAACCAATTAATTTACATGTATTGGGATTTTTTTTTAGCAAAGACATGTAGCAGAATACATTTTGGCCTAAATTTATGATGAAATTAGATTTTTTAAATTTTTTTACTGGACATGTTTAATAGCAAAAAGTCAAAAATATTGTTTTTTTCTCAAAATTGCCAGTCTTTTTTTGTTTATAGTGCAAAAAATAAAAAATGCAGAGGCAATAAAATACCACTGAAAGAAAGCTCTATTTGTGGAAAAATATGTAAATATGTAAAGGATGTAAATTTCATTTGGGGTGTAGCATTGCATGACTGTGCAATTGTCAGTTAAAGTAACGCAGCGCTGTATTGGCCTGGTCAGGGGGGTAAATCCTCTGGAGGGCAAGTGGTTAAGAAACTTCAAGCTTACCACTTTAAAAAATAGAGCATGTTAAGACACTCAAAGATGATCTTTGCCGTTGGGCGGACTATTCCTTATCATGGTTTGGCAGAGTCAACTCAATCAAAATTATGTTTTTGCCCCGATTGCCATACTATTTCCTTACTATATCCTTACCTGTGTTGATTCCAAGACGAGAATTACAACATCTACATATATATAATAGCTGGCCTCCGATGAACAAGAAGACATTGTATGCTTCCAGACCGCAAGGGGGTATTAGCCTTCTTAATCTCCATGCGTACTTCCAGGCTGCACAAATCACCCAGTTGGCTTACACCACTTCTGGGGGAAATACTCCCCTCTGGGTTTCTATCGAAGCTCTCTCCTGTCACCCTCTAGCTATTGGGGCCTTACTTTGGCTTCCAAATCAATTGCGCCCCCCTATATTGTGCCACACTCTGTCATTTCTTTGGCAGTTTGGGACAGGGTACACCATCGTAAGTCGTTGGCATCTCCACATACACCTGTAGCTCTGTTTTTTTTCAACCTTGAATTTGTGCCTGGATTAACACTGGCCCCTTTTGCGATGGTGGATCAATAAAGGCTTGCTGCAGATAGGAGACTCTCTAAATGGTGCTTGCATACATCCTTTACAATATTTTAACCACTAGCCTACAGGGCACTTATACCCTCTTCCTGCCCAGGCCAATTTCCAGCTTTCAGCGCTGTCACACTTTGAATGACAATTGCACGGTCATGCAACACTGTACCCATATGAAATTTTTATCATTTTTTTTGTGACAGATAGAGCTTTATTTTGGTGGTATGTAATCACCTCTGGGATTTTTATTATTTCTTAATCAAAACAGTTTTTTCTTAGTTTTGTGTTAGAAAATTTTGTAAATAAGTGATTTTTATCGTTCACTGATGTGCACTAATGAGGCTGCAGTGATGGGCACTGATAGGCTGCACTGATGGACACTGATAGGTGGCACTGATGGGCACTGATTGATGAGGAAGCACTGGTAGGTGGCACTGATGGGCATTGACAGGCATCACTGACGAGCACTGATAGGCGGCACTGATAGGCGGCACTGACTGGCACTGATAGGCGGCACTGATATGCAGCACTGACGGGCACTGATATGCGGCACTGACTGGCACTGATAGGCGGCACTGATAGGTGGCACTGATTGGCAGCACTGATAGGTGGCACTGATTGTAATTGATAGGTGGCACTGACTGGCACTGATGGGTGACACTGAAAGGCAGCTCAGATGGGCACTGATATGTGGCATTGATGTACACTGGTAGGCACTGGTATGTGGCATTGATGTGGCACTGATGGGCACTGGCTGGTGGCATGGATGAGCACTGACAAGCTGGCATTGATGGACACTGACAGGTGGCACTGCTGGGGCTATACTGATCATCAGGGCACACTGATTATCAGTACCCTGATTATCAGTGCACATGTCCCCTTCGAAGAATGACGATTACAGGCTCTCCTCTCCTCACGAGCTGTCACCGTGACAGCTCGTGAGGAGAGAAATGCCGATAACCGGCATTTCCCTGTTTACATGCGATCAGCTGTGATTGGACACAGCTGATCACATGACCAAGCCAACATCTTTGGCTCTTTCCGTGGGTCGGTGATCCGCTGTGTCCGAGGGACACAGCACACCGCCGATTGCCGTGCTGCAAGCTCCCGGAGCCATGTATGCGCGGTGAGAATGGGAGGACGTCATATGACGTCCTCCCAGAACGAGAGAACCGCCTTGCATCCGTCATTGGACTCTATGGCGAGCGGGAGGCGGTTAAAGACAAACTGCATATGCCTACCTCTGAAATTTTCAGATATAACCAGATTGTCTTATTTCTCTGCTCGAATCTTACTTTATTGGATGAGTCACCTTTGCTCACTATGTATCACATCTTGTGGCAATGTCCGATCACAAATAGATTTTGGATTCGCATGTTTAATTTTGTAAATTCAATGAAGGGAGTAAATATTCGCAGATCCCCGGAGAAGGCGCTCTTTCATAAATTTCCAGATAATGTCCTTAAGAAATCTCTTAAGTTGATCACCTACAGTTGTATTCAAAATAATAGCAGTGTGTTGAAAAAAGTGAATAAAGCTCAAAATCCTTCTAATAGCTTTTATTTCCATACACACAAATGCATTGGGAACACTACACATTCTATTCCAAATCAAAATATGAAGAATATGTCAAATTTGTGTTGTTCCTCTAAAAAAATTGAAGAAAAGTGAATATTAGACTGTTCAAAAAATAGCAGTGTTTGTATTCTTCTTTACAAACTCAAACATTCACTATATAAACTGAAAAATGTTTGAAGATTTTGCTTTCCTTTGAATCACTTAATGAATATTTAGTTGTATAAGCACTGTTTCTGAGAACTGCTGGACATCTGTGTTGCATGGAGCCAACCAACTTCTGGCACCTGTGAACAGGTATTCCAGCCCAGGATGATTGGACTGCATTCCACAGTTCTTTTCTATTTCTTGGTTTTGCCTCAGAAACTGCATTTTTGATGTCACCCCACAAGTTTCCTATTGGATTAAGATCCGGGGATTGGGCTGGCCACTCCAGAACGTCAATCTTGTTGGTCTGGAACCAAGATGTTGCACGTTTACTGGTGTGTTTGGGGTCGATGTCTTGTTGGAACACCCATTTCAAGGGTATTTCCTCTTCAGCATAAGGCAGCATGACCTCTTCAAGTATTCTGATGCATTCAAACTGATCCATGATCCCTGGTATGCGATAAATAGGCCCAACACCGTAGTATGAGAAACATCCCCATATCATGATGCTTGCGCAACCATGCTTCACTGTCTTCACAGTGTACTGTGGCTTGAATTCAGTGTTTGGGGGTCGTCTGACAAACTGTCTCCGGCCACTAGACTCAAAAAGAACAATCTTGCTTTCATCAGTCCACTAAATGTTTCATTTCTCTTTAGGCCAGTCAATGTGCTCTTTGGCAAATTGCAACCTCTTCAGCACATGTCTTTTTTTCAACAGTGGGACTTTGCGGGGGCTTCTTGCAGATAGCTTGGCTTCACATAGGCGTCTTCTAATTGTAACAGTACTCACAGGTAACTTTACACCTTCTTTGATCTTCCTGGAGCTGATTGTTGGCTAAGTCCTTGCCATTTTGGCTATTCTTCTATCCATTTGAATGGTAGTTTTTCGCTTTCTTCCACGTCTTTCAGGTTTTGGTTGCTATTTTAAAGCATTTGCTATCATTTTAGCTGAGCAGCCTATCATTTTCTGCACGTCTTTATATGTTTTCCCCTCTCCAATCAACTTTTTAATCAAAGTACGCTGTTCTTCTGAACAATGTCTGGAATGACCCATTTTCCTCAGAATTTCAGAGAGAAATGCACTGTAACCAGCATGCACAACATTTGCTGCCTTCCTTCCTTAAATAAGGGCAATAATTGCCACCTGTTTTTCAAAAAATGAATGACCTCACTAATAGAACTTCACACTGCTATTATTTTGAACATGCCCCTTTCAATTAGTGATTCAATTACACAGAATCAGCAGCATGCATGTCATGACTGTTGGGTCTATTGGATTTCTATTACTCTACTACACCTGCTAGTAAATTATTTGCTATGTAGAAATATCATTTCTACCAAAAACAGTGATTGATCAGGTTAGTGATGTCTGACTGCTATTATTTTGAACACAACTGTACATGTTTCTGGCAGCGAGAATTACTATAGCTATACATTGGAAGCAATCGGCCATTCCACTTGAGTATGTTAAAAAGAAACTAAACTGTATTATGGTTAATGACAAGCTCACCTGTATCCTGCACAATAATTCGATGCAGTTCAGAAGCTGCATTTGACCTGCTTTGGGTTGAACTGCACTTCATTGGAGGCATCATGTTCTCTTGACGTACATTTGAAGTGCAGGGAAAGCATGTCCAATGTATGCTCTACCTGTCAAATGCTGTGTTTTACTTTCAAATGTAGCTGGAATGGAAAACACAGCATTTGACAAGCGTGCCTATTGACATGGACTCTATGAGCATCTGTAATGAGGCAGGCTTTACTAGCTGCTAAATCATTCCCAGAGATGCTCATACTCATTTTTTTGCTATTTTAGATAGTTTTTGTTAGTATAATAAAAACAAATCATATGCATTTCTAGGTAAATACCTTTCTCTCTATTTTGCCTTTAAAAGCTGCGATCCAGGCATTGCTCAAATTAGAATTAAAACATGTTTTTTGCATATCCTTTTATTTTATGTTTCCGCCACTTAGGCGCATGCAAGCTGCCCAGTAAAAGTTGTGGGTGATGGTGCTTGGTACAATAAATTACACTGTGAGAGCTTTTGTTTTGAAACCCCAGGCTTCAACCTTTTACTAAGAAAAAAAAAAAAGCTGTTGCTGAAATTACCAGAGTCTTTGATTAATTAAAATACCTGCATGGCACCATTATAATAGGCTTATAATTAGTCTTTGTAATGTCTTACAGGCTGTTTAATATTATCATGAGTTTCACATCTCTACATGCACCTTCTGCAGCCTGCTGACATAATTCTACCGCCATAGGTCAGTGTCTCTCACCTCCTTAGGAAGAAGAGCTGCGGTGATCCATAAATACCTGACACTTTGCGGCCTTCAGCACCAGCCCTCATGCCTCGCTAAACAGAAAGTACTGAGAGCAGATTAGATTTAATTTAATCCACAACCAGTTATGAACAGTCCATTTATAGCTGAAGATACACACACTCATTCACTGGAACTCATTCAACGGATTCTGCTCTCAGTGAAGTACAATTACAAGCAAATAAGGAACATACATTCTTAAAAGATTAATTCACCTTTTCAGAAAACATGAAAAAGTGAACTAACACCTCCCTCCGGTCTTCACTGCACTTACCCCCAGTGGTGAGTGGTAGAGTTTCACTACTTGTGCAGCCGGGTGCAATGGTCCTGGGGTTTGAAACCTGTGCTGTTCTTCCTCTTCTTTCCCTAGGAACAGATTAGAGCGGTTTTGATTAGTCAGCGCCAATCAAAGGCACTTCAGATACCGCTGCAGTCGAAAGGAGGCAGTATTTATTTGTTTAATACCATAAGTTTCAGATACCAGTAGAGTATTTAAACAAAAAAAAATATATATATAAAAAAACCTTTAAAATTTTTGTTCATTTATTAGTATTTTATAAACAAGCAAAACAGGGTTTATTTTTGTTAAAACAGTGCACCAAATAAAAGGCTTATATATCTGTAAAATTATACTAAACTAATTTTTTTTAGGTAAGCAGATTAGTTATAGAATTACTTTCAATTTAACTGACACATGTCTGGGCATCTAGGCACCAATGGCCTTGGGCCAAAATATTGTAGGTTAAGCTTCACATTTAATATTCTGCCAGTTTCCAGGTTGTTGGAATACAGTGTTTGTATATTTTTGCACAACTACATCAGTTAGGGTAACTTGTTTATCTATCTATTAGATAAACAAGTTACCCTTTGAAGAATGCTATTTACCATAAGCCATTAATATACTCAATAAATACTTAAAATTATATTAGACCTTACTTTTTTTTTTTTTTTTATTAAAATACCTAACATATGTGTACTTGGGCAATGCTTTTGCACAGAGCAGCTCCGACCTTCCTCCTCTGGGGCCCCCTGCCAGAGCCCCTTCTCTTTTGGTGGGTGTCCCCATCGAGAGCAACTTTCCATGGGGGCACCCATATGGGCTCGTTGCTGAGCTGCACTGTCTGCATCCATTAAAACAGAGTGGGTGGCTCCTCTCCGCTCCCGCTCCTGTGTCACGGTATTTGATTGACACCAGTGGGAGCCAGTGGCTCTCGCTGCTGTCAATCTGCCCAATGAGGAGGGAGACAGACGCTAGAACCGCTGCTCTTGTGCACATCACTGGATTGGATCAAGCTCAGGTAAGAAAAAGGGGGAGGCTGGGGGGGGGGCGGGGGAGGTGCAGCACAAAAGGTATATATATAGCTATATCAGGGGCGGACTGACAACTCATAGGGCCCCTGTGTCCTTGCCCAAACTCAAACAAGTCTGTGAAAAAGGTACCTGTCAGGATGGACTCGCCAATGGTGGTGGGACTCACCTGCCTTGTGGGCTGCAATACCAAGGCTGGCCAGCGGGTGCTCTCAGCAGCCAGAATCTCACTCCTGCAATCAGGCCATCACCTGAGGCTGATTGCAGGAGGTGTATTTAAGCAGGACCAGGCCTGTGATCAGTGCCTTGGTGTTGTTTCCCATGAGCCCCTGTACCTTGTATCCTGTGTTCCTGTTCCTCTGCCTATCTGATTTGTTGCCGACCCTGCCTGATCCTGACCTCTGCTGACTTCTCCTGCTCTGACTCCTGGCTCGTCCCTGACTATTCTTCTGCCTACTCCTATGCTGTTTGACCTCCTGTTGCTGTACCTTGGCTTGTGACCCGTTTACTCTTTGCCTGCTGCTTTGTACTGATCTGCCTCCACCGTTACTGACCCGGCTTGTCTGACTACGCTACACTCCATACTGTCATCCATCCATCCCGCACGGATCCAGTCACTACTGTCCGAACCTGCCAGCCC